AAGTCAGTTGAAAATGTTACTAAAGAAAGCCTTACCTGTGTATCACTAAACAAGAAAACTATTGATTTATTCTCTAATCCTGCTTTCAACATGATGGTTTTCAGATCCTCCCTCCACTCTGTCATGCCATAGTTCTTAGCCAGCTCGATCTGGAAACAGTCATATTCAGACCTGGAAGAAAAACAGGAGTTCTATAGGTAAAGGTTTTTCAATGAGAAAAAAATATGTGGTCCTAAGCTTGTAAATTGTTAATACTGTATGTTCATAACTCTAATTCTTCTGAAAATTAAAATCACCAATATTTTTCAATATCAAGTACAAGTGCCAAACCTCTATTAATGGTAAGTATGGTGATGAAGCTATATCTTTAAGTTATAAATATAATTACATGTGTGCTGCCAGCCTGGTAAGACTCTGTCTGCCACTACCACCCATTCCCAGCAGTAAGGCATTCCCCAGGGGCTGTCTGATGATACGACTTATACGACACAAGTGCTTCATGGCATCCATAAAGAGCACCAAGTTCATCTTTGCTGTGTTGATTTGATTGTAGTCCTCAAGGTACTCCTCCATGACTTTTGCCATCTTTTAAGAAAAAAAAAAGATGAAATAAATGAATGTCTACTCAATAAGAAATATGCAAAATTCACATCTCTCAAAGTGTCTGATGCATTTTGACAGAATAACTGAAAATATCACTTATAATATCTTGGTTTTTCAATACTCCATAAAATTCATACACTGGTAAGTTCCATGCAAATGAACATGAGTATTAAATAAGTGTTGAATTTGAATATATTAAATTAAGCAAAAATATATAAATATACAAATGAATAAATGAAAAATAAATTATTAATTCATAAAAGAAAATTAACACACAAACAGAAAAAACTCGTCCTTTGCCCAGCCACCAACCTTAGCATGATCCTCTATTTCTGCATAGACTTTGTTGTCTACATTGGGCACCATGAAGTCTCCATATAGGATAGGCAGTGAGGGCACAGCATCTTGAAACTGGATGTGGAAATCTGCCAGCATGTGTTCTTTCATTAAGTTGTCAAACCAGTCCCTGTCTTCATCATTCACCAAACGGTCCTGGAACACGCGGCAACTCTCATGGTACCACAGCCGCAGGAATTCCTGTAGTGTCTGCAATGGAATGGAATTGGAGTCTTATAGTCATTGTTATCAAAATGACGGCTACAAAAAACTCTTAAATATGTTTTTTGACATTATCAGACATCCAGTATATAGATCTACAGATATATTTTTCTGAACTTATATTAATTTCTGTCAACAGATTATTACTACAAGTTTAATAAAACATTATAATCATAGATATAGATTTGAAAACTTGTGTATACACAGCTGGAAAATTCTGTCAAACATGATTTTTCAAAACTCCATAAAATCAACTTTACAAAACTTTCTATGTTTTAAATGAATGGATGAGTTAGTATCAGCTGTTAATGAGGCAGATTGGATTCATTACCTCCAGCTTAGCAGCGTCTGCCATGAGCATGCCCTGGAAGACTTTGGAGAGATCCCTCAAGTTGAATGTGTAGTGGCTCTTGGCTGGTGTTGGTAGAAGTTGTTTTAGAATGGTGTTGTACATATCAATACAGGTGTCCACCATTTGGTCACCATGGTCACGCACTGCGGGAGGACTGGCAGCTGCAAGGTGACAGGAAACATGTATTCAACATCAGATTTAACAGGCAAGGCTAAACAACTGGCTGTACTGACTGCAACATTTACATTCAGTATATACTCTAACATTGCTCCAAACAATTATGTTCATCATAAGATGTTTGCAATAGTACATGCTTGGACAAATTTCTAAAAGGAATCATTGCTAACTCAATTTAAAGAGACACAGTACTGTATAGGAATGCAATGTTCTCACCTAAAAACCAGTTCAAGATGGTTCCAAAGATCGTCCGTTTGCTGTCATCCTCCAGGTCTGTGAAGGCCAGGTAGTTGAAGTGACGCAGCAGTCTAGGAGTGACTGGATTACGTCCACCACCAGGGGGACCCATTGCAGTCACAAAGTTCACGTCAACAAGATGGCGGAAATCTCCTATGGCCTTTCTGTCGTACCAGCCTTTGAAGTCCATCCACTGTCTGATCAGCTCAATAGGTGGCTGGGCCCCATAGGTCTCCAGGGCAGGCATGTTCAAGTCATCAACAAAAAAGATGAAGTATTTTCCAAGAGGAGGTCCAAATACTCCCTTTCGCCTGAAATAATAGAAAGAAAGAAAATTATAGGCATTGGTGCATAAAATTGGGATTTAATATACCATATCTTTAATATGAGGTAACATTACTAGCGGTAACAATGAATAGATTACCAAGAAAGTGTTTTATTTATAAGACTTAGAAGTGCTGTCTGGGTTTAGAATTAAAATACAAAACCACCATTACTACATAAGATTAATCCATAAAATATAATTATGCAAACAGTATTCACAATTTAGATTTTTAAAATTTCAACTTTCTACCTTTTGTCAAGTTTGCCATCAATCAGATCTTGTGTCTGGTTTGCACTGGTTTTGGCAGAAAACACGATGAATTCTGGGATATACTGTTTTGGCATGCCTCTGCTCAGTTTGTCTGCCAGGGAGAGGGTCTTTCCTGTCCCAGTAGGACCCACACACAATACCTGGAGGAAAAATCATTGTCAAGGTATACATTAATAAATTTCCAACTAAATTGGAAGGAAATTATCACTTCTGCATTGAAATTAACCTTAGGAAATAGTGAAATATTTATCAATAAAAATGTAAAGTATAACTTGTCTAGTGAAATTTCCCTTAAGAGAGTGAAATCCTTATCAATACAAAAAAACCTGAGGTAATATATTGAAAGAAAGCAAAAGAAAAAATATATATGGAAACCACAGGACATGAGCATGAGAGTCAATTTTTGATTTTTGGTAATATTTTTTATTTTGTTTCAAAACTATGAATGAATTCTATTTCCTTTTTTTTCCCTTTTTAAATGGAACTTACTGTTTTATTGTTAGACAGAAGTATTTCAATGATGTATGCACTTCTGATGGTGTCCATGGTGGGCACTATGATGTCTGAGAACTTGCTGTCTGGGGGAATAGAGAAATGAGCACGGCCGTGGAACCAATCCAACCACTGAATCTAGATCAGAAAAATAAAAACACTCAGATTCTTTTTTTACCAATAAAAAGCCACAATTTGTTCTAAAATGGACTTTAAATTGATGTAACCATTGAACCAGAACAGCATCATGGTGCCATTTTTTTTTTTCAATATAACAAACAGTTACATGTTATTTACCAGACTTCAAACTGGTAATTACAAGTGGATCTACTTCCTCTATGAATTGTGTCAAATTTCAACTAAGTGTTAGAAAATGCTTGCAAAATCTTGGTGTTTTATTTTGTACCTTGCGTTCTCCACCTGCATCCTCCTCCTCGTCGTCTCCATGGCCTCCACTAATGCCTCCATCATCCAACCTATAGTCATATACCAAGCCTTTCTCTGGGAATGGCATTGTGCACTGGAATAATTTTTTTTATTTTTATGCATAAAAATATAAGGTTTTACATGAGAACATAATATGTACAGTTAATAAATAAAATTCACAAACTTCTTATTTTCCAGAAACACACCCAAAAAATGCCTCATCATCCAATTCATACCAAACATAAAGTCTGCTTTTGGAACAGACATAAATTATTTTCAGGTTTTATATTAATATAAGCGCGCGCGCACACACACACACACACACACACAAATACACACAAACACACACACACACACACACACACACACACAATAATGCCCACTTACATTTTCTTTCTTCATCTTCTCTCTGAGGTAATCACTGAACTTCTTCCTTCCATCATTATCACAGGTGGCGCCCACAGTCCAGATCAGGGAGAAGATAAACCAAGGCTCAATGAGATCCACAATACGCTCCAGTTGTTCCTCTGGCATTTCCTTTTCTCCCTGTGTTCATGTAAAAATACAAAGCATCCTGTACTTTCTTTTCTCAACTAGTGGACTCTCTTTGAGAGCTGCTAATATTTTGTGAAAAATGTGAAAAAGTATAATAATCATATTTTTCAATTGCTTCATAATCAAAGCAAAAGCCATGCCTTGTACATAATTAAATTGGTTGTCAATACCATTTAATAATACAGGTATATCTATATGCATATGGGACATTGTTAATGATGTTTGAACCTAAATGCAGGACTATAAATGACACTATAAGTATCTTAAAATGTGAATATAATAGCGATAGGCTATTAGATGCTAATTATACAAGGGATGTGTGTGTGTGTGTGTGTGTGTGTGCGCGCGCACGTGAGCACATGCAAATAGCATGATACTTTGATGATTGGATTCTTGATTCATACTTAGAAATTGCCTATGACTATATATAGCTATAATAGCTTAATTACTGGCAGATATCTATGAAAAAAAGAATAAGGTTGCAATTTTGTTTATTATTTACCAATGATAATTGGGTAAAAGCAGGACTAGCCTAGTGGGATTTTTATACTGCCTACCCGACACCCCTGAAAAGCATGTTTCATATGCCTAAATATTTCTTACCCGTTGATACTTCCCTGGTACCCTGTGCTATTTAAAATAAACCCCAAACATATTAAAGCAAAACACAAAAAAATATGTTAAATTAAACATGACTGCAATAGAGAATTGGCTAAATGCCAATTAAGAGATCCAATAAGAACAGAAATAAACAAGTAACATAAAAAAAAATAACAGAAATGATTCTTCCATAAATCACTTCTGACTTGTATTGGGTTAAGAGAGAATGATTAATATTTTAAATACAACTCCACTTACTACTTCTTCCTCCTCATCACCCAATATTAAATGCTGCATGCACAGATAAAGACAGCAAGGAGAGAAGATGGAAAGTTAGGAGAAGAAAACAAAGACAAGAGAAGGACATAGATATGAAAAGTGTCAAATGTGAATACAAAACACTGATCAAACATTTGTCATTAAAATGTGATAAAAAAAGACAAGTGATACTATCTAAAATGGCTGTTCAGATATAAAGGAAATGTGTAGGAAGTGAAAATATCAGGCAACCTCTGTATACTTCATCACGTGATTATTTATTGATATGATAAACTAGAGAAGTTGATGATTATATCACCACACCCACCTCTTTAGGAATGAAGGGGGTGAAGTAGCACTCCAGCAGTTTCAACAAACTGAAGGTCAAGTTGCTGTCCATAGATGGCACAAATTCTTTCATATTGCCTCGCAGGAAATGAATGGAATCCTGAAAAATTCACAAACAAAATCATTTAGAACGCTATCAGATTAAGCAAATGGTCTCTAGCATATATAAGCTCTCTGTAATCTATTTTCTAAAACAGGCAAAATATTAAATCTCATGCTCTATGTTATGCAGAGACTCCGACATTTCATCCTTTATCACAAGGACATATATTTGCTTAAACTTGAATAAAAGAAATTGGGAGTTTCTAATGTGAAACACATGTTGATATATTACATGTTAACACATAACATGAAATCCATGTTTCTTTGTAAAATAGTAATAATAATCAAAATAACAACAACAATATCCAGTTACCTCCAGAAAAGCATCAAAGAGTGCCTGGAACTTGTCCTTGTGTGGGTATATAGCATCAGGCAGTCTCTTGAGCCAGCACTCTACAAATGGTGACAGGCCCAGAATACTGGGTTCCAGGTACACCATACCACACCTACTGACAGTGGCAGGGGAGGCAACTGCCAGGTCCTGTACTTCAAACATCATAGTCATGTGCTGGAATAGACAATATTCATTAATTCTTAAGCTATATTGCTCGATTGAAGGAAATCTGTTGAAATATTCCACCAAAGAATTTCTAGAAATAGGTTTTTAATATGTGGTGACAATATGGTAGGAATGAAAAGTGAGAGATGCTTGCAAAAAACATATGTAATTCAATGTAAGTTCCAGAAAGAAAAAAGCTTTTTCAAATTATCTAAAATGGTAGAACATAAACAGTTTTGTGAAAAATAAAACAACTTATAATATTAAATGCCCAATACTAACACCACAAGAAGAAAAAAAAACATGCACGTTTAACAAACACAATTTTTTGAAAAAAAAAACAAGGACATCAGCAGTCAAATATTGTGGAATCTCAAATACAATGAAAGTGCACATTAACTTCTAAGTTAAATACCTCAGTTAATTTGATGATCTCTCCACTGCTGAGACACAGCTTTTTATTGTCATCCAGCACAGTGTTCATGTTCTCAATCCACACGGCATCCACAGGACCATCAAACAGATACCAACGCTTGTCAGCATCCTGGGCAGAGCAGCCCTGCCTGATCAGTGTGGACAAGATCCCATCAGTCCTGGAATAATAATAATAATAATAATAATAATAATAATAATAATAATAATAATAATAATAATAATAATAATAATAATAATAATAGCATATCTGGTAGAGCACAAAATAGGAGGAATATGATTCCATATATTCAATATACCAGTACTTACTAACCCTACCCATCTGATCTGCTTACTCCAAAATTACACATCATCAGTTATTAAAAGCAATTAACAGCTACATGCATTGCTTTAACAGACAATAACAAGAGGAAAGAAAAAGTGGAAAAAAGAAAAAACACTTAGCCTAAAATGCAGACATAAATGTGCGTACCATTCGTGTGTCATGAGATCAAACTCTCCATACAGCTGCCCCATAGTGATGGACTTGGGGTTGAGGATATAGGTGTGGGTAGCCTCAAAGGGCACACCTGCTGGAGATGGTTCTCCCTTCAGTGAAGTCATGGCCTTCTGCAGGACCTCGTAACACTAGAATTGAAAATCAAATGTGAAAATGTGCTGAAAGCATTGCAATTAGAAGGGTTCTTGTACTATCACAACACGGACCATAGAATTTATAATTTAAGCATTTTGGCATATTTCATAATTAAGCTTTATCTTGTTAATATCTACTCTTCAAAGTAGAAAAACATTTAAAATGTTTTTCTGCTGTGTTTAAATTTGGCTTTCACCAAGGTAATACACTCAATTTCACAAATTTAAGGTCATACTTTTGTCTTTCCAGAACCGGTTGGTCCAACCAACATAAGCCCGTGGCGCACAACAGTTGTCTCATAAAGCTGAATGCACTTGTGTAAGAATCCATCCACTTCTTTGATGCCCAGTTTGACACAGGACTTGTTGAGGGCTTCACTAAGAGCTCCATAGTCAATAGGTTCCTCTCTACATAAAAATAGGCAATATTAGAGGTTCAGAGAAAAAGTAAGTGTCACTATCTCAGTACATTGTATGTAAGTCTGACACATTCAGCAGTGAACTTTGATATAAAAGCAAGTTTTGAAGTTTTAAGACTTATAATATAAAGCTTTTTGTTTTTTTGCTTTCATGTGATCTATCTTTATAATTATTCATTTATATTTGAAAAATAAAAATAATTTTAATTATGACTAAAATTATTAAGAAGATCTAAATACATAAAAACATACTTGATGTTGGGGAAAAGATCTGATACAATGCCGTTGAACAGTTTCAAATCATCTTGCAGGAACTTAGGCACATTCACATCTCTGATGGCTCTGAGAGCAATCAACTCTTCATCCATCTTGGGATTCTGTCTCTTCAAGTTGCCGGCAGCAGATATCACACTCTTCACAGCACGCATACCAAAGTCATAGTGATCCTGAAACCAGACATACACAACTTGTGCTAAACTGGATACAGTAGTTTAAACTTTAAATGGATATGTCACTTATCTTTGAATTATCATCTTTGTCTCTAGTTTCATCAAAGTGGTAACAATGTTATTATAAAATTTATTAACTTTTCAAAAATTCTAATTAAAAATACCATAACAGGTTCTGCAAATGTACAGCTGTAAATCACACTCAATTCAAACAAAAAACCACTTTGAAGAAAACAATAAACCACTTACCTGTGCACTAAGCTGTTCAGATGACAACTTGAAAGTTGTTGTGATTTTCTTTGAGAGAATCTTGGCATCAGAGAAACCAAAGGAGAACAAACTGATTTCTGCAATCAGGGCATAATCTGGCACCATCATAGCCACAGGACGGAACAAAGCCTGAAATACAAGGGTGTGTCTTTTTACTGGCCACAGTTTTATTGTTGTTTTTTCTTTTATCTTCTTGCTTTTGAAACACCTACTTAAAACATGTCTTAATAGCTTGTAGTAAAACACTAGAAAAAGGGCTTATACATGGATCCCTCTTCTATTTATTTATTTTTTTTTTGGTGGGTCAGTTATACTTTACTGACACTCCCAGATTCTAAAGCCTGGCTGATGTCTTGATTTCAGTGAACATTTCCTGATGTTTACCTTCAAGTTGTCAGGCAGTTCTGTTCTGCCTGCATAGCCAGGGTTCATGGTGATGAACACAGCACAGGAATTCTTCAAAGCCAGCTCTACGCCTTCGAAGATGAACCTGTCCACCTATGAAACAGACACATTATTACATCACATGAAGTGAACACATTGATATTTTCAATATCAAGTCATAATATCAATACAAATATAGTAATATAGTAATATAGACGTTTATAGTATACCAAACTGTTTTGTGATTAAACTCAATTTTGACTGTAATATATTTTGTCTTAATTTATCAAAAATAGGATACAACTTTAAGAAATTGTTAAAAGCATCCAATGTGGTAAACTTTAACTTAGCTGCTATACACAAGTACGTAGCAAGTCCCATCTCAACCATCCTTTTATTTGAAAATGCTATAAGTTTACAAAGTTGGGCATGCTGGTGATACATACACAGCATCTCCAGGCAAAACCATAAATAAACACAGGTAATCATAAAAACATAGAAACACTTAAGTCGGTAAGTAAGAAGTGGATAATTTCTGCTAATTAAAATTATCAATAAAAATAATAATTACATATAATCTACATGCTAATGGGATGCTTCTACATGTATGTTGTTGAAGGAAGAAATAACTACCCAGCTGTCAGCCCGTATCTTTCTTCTCTACCTACCTTAGCAATGAGTGCTTGCTGTATTTGGGTGATCTGCATGGCCACCACTGACAGCACCTCTATGTCTATACGGTTGAATTCATCAAAGCAAGCCCATGCCCCTGAACTATAGAGGAAGGGAAAAGAGCTTGAAGTTATAACTACTGATTTGAAGCTACAAGCAAGAAAAGGGGGGGGGGGGGTCGGGGATAGACAGGGTGAACAAAATGCCCATTACCTGATGTTCTTTCCATGGTAAATCTTTACCCAAAGTTGCAGGCAAAATCATAGAGATTTATGGAATCAAATATTGAATTTAACCCCAATCTCAAATAAAAAATGATAATCAAAAAATAATAAGATAGTAGCATGGCCATGCAAGTGAGGGTACTGCTTTGGGAAATACTACCTAAAGGTTGTAATGCAGTGTACAAGGTAATGGCATAACCTGTAATCAATACATGCTATACACTATATGCTATGATTGATAGAGGTCTATAGGATAATCATGCATGGTTGCCAACTCTACATACTAAAATGCTGATATCTTTTGCTAAACATGTTATCAACAACAGAATAACACCTGAAATAAAAAGGAATTAATCCTGAAAAGGGGGTAGAATACATGTAAATGTGTAGAGCTGGCAACCCTGACTATCTATTTGTAGATCAGGTCTGGGGTGACAGTTGTACATGGAGAACATGCATATTTGAATATGCCTAAATATGCTACTGTCTAGCAAGTATGGAGAGCACCCTATGTCCAGACATATAGTGCCTACCCTTTGCTGTTGAGCTTTTTGAATGGTTGTGATCTGCTGAGCAACCACTGATAACACCTCAATGTCGATACGGTTGAACTCATCAAAACATGCCCACGCCCCAGCACTGGAAGTAGCACACCACAGAGAAACATAATCCAAGTGCAGTGCTCAAAACACAACACTTTTGTGCAAAAATTAATATTTTTTCTTTCAACACAAGGCTTTCTGAAATATGAGCAATTCTAAACAACATACCATTTCAAAATTACTTCATAAATGAAAAATAAGTAAGGATTAGGAAAAAAAGGTGGTGGAAATCAATATAAATTGCAAGCAAACCCCATGTACTCCAGTATGGTTTACGATACACAGTTTTGGATAGGGAATCCCAAATGCGACATACATTAATACAAACATACATTCAAACAAGTACCCAGTTTTTGCATTTCCACAAATAGAAAATGCTTACATAAAATCAACCATATTGAAAATCTAATAGCAATCTTCAGATCAATTAAATAACTTTTGTCAAACAAAATTTTGAGAAGCAAAAATGAACCATGAACTTTTAAAGAATCACATGCTTCTGTCTATATGAACTATCAGCAGTCAGTCTATTATTTTCATCTAATCACCTTGCCAATCCTTTGAAGAATTTCCCCATAGCCATGAAGTCAAGCTGGTCAGAGCAGTTGAAGACCACACACTGAATGGCAAAAGCCTTGGCCAGATCCTTGGTGGTTTCTGTCTTCCCTGTCCCTGCAGGCCCAGCAGGGGCACCACCAAACTTTAGATGGAGGGCCCCAGTCAGGGTCAGGTAACATCTGAAATGGTAACACATTAGTATGAATGTAGACACATATTTTGAATATGAAAGATACATTTTACCACAAGTATATGGAATCTCCACAGAATGCATATCCAGGTACAAGAACACTAAACAAATGAATAAATGGAAATAAATAAATAAATAAATAAATAAATAAATGAATAAATAAAATCATAAAAATAAATAGATAAATAATCTCATCACCATACCGATCAGTCAGTGGTGTAATAACCAAGCGCCCTGTGTTCCCCAGGTATTCATATCCATACAGAAACTGGGCGTTCACAGCCCGGGTGTACATGTTGTCATCTTCCAACCAGTAGTATCTGCAAACAGTACAAATATGAACATCACTTTCAAGGGCATTGTGCATAAGCATTATTATGAAAAAAAGAAGAGATAACTTGCAATATATATTCTTCCATGAATTAAATCAAATCAATTACAACTTACAATTAATAATAATATGTTATTTCAACTTTGATTAAGCATGTTTGAAGAAAACCTTCACCACCAAATCATTCAGTAACATCATAGGGTTTATGTAGGATTAAATTTCATTTAGCTGAAAAGCTGGATAATCTTAAGCAATTTTTAATGAGATTAGTGATATCTCTTGCAAAACAGTAAAACATTTCACATTTTCCCAACCAAATTAGAACAACCTTAGCATTTGGATAAGATTCTCTATACTAGGGTAAGCCAAGCTATCTTAACCTTTTGGTTCAGTTTTTCCATACCTCAACTGGCTGATCCATTCAAAATCATTGACATTTTCCACTTTCTCTTTGACCATGTTTGCTACCACATCCCTGGCGTGGACCTCAATGACAATGAGAGCAGACAACACCTGGATTCCAATACGTGTCAATGTCCCTCCTGTCACCAGGTTACGCAGGTCATCAAGCTGTGAAAACAGAAAAGAATCTTTGACACTGATGGCGAATAAGTGACTAAAAATGCTGATCAATCAAAACGAAAGACCATACAGAAAAAATGTGCCAATGTAAAGTGATGTGAAGTGTGCACTAAAAAATCAAATGCATAAATACATTGCTTATTTTTTTGTAATAACCAATAATTTAGAAACTCAAAAAAAAAATAAATAAATAAATAAATAAATAAAAACAGATGCATATCTTTTAATCTTTCTTCTTTTTAATAACTTTTTTGTTCAATTCTGGAAATATTTACAACTACATGTACGTGCTTGTCCTCCATTTACCTGACTAAGCAAGTTCTGAAACAGTCCAGGCAGATCTTTTCTCTCCAGTGCTGCTGACACCTCAGAAGTCCAGAATGTCTGACAGCCAGCTATGACAACCTGGCCAGGCCACTTGACTACCCACTCTGTCCTCGGGATCTGAAGAGAACACATCCAATCCAATTTTCCTATTAGTCTTATTCCTATCACATGATATTATCTTTCTGTCTGTCAGAAAATAAATGCTCTTGATGTAAATAATAAAAAAATAAAACAAATAAAGGTTTCTGAAATCACATGATATTTTCTTTCTGTCTGTCGGAAAATATATACTCTTAATATAAATAATAAATAAATACATAAAATAAATACAGCTCTTACCTTTTCATAATCTTCCAAAGCATCTTTGATGATAAATCTGAGACTCTGCATCATGACTCTCTCCACCTCCAGTAACCAGTCCTCCACATTGCCAGTGGGATACAGGGACTCCTTGAAACTCACTGATTCTCCTTCTCCAGAGTACATAGTCGTGATCTTCAGATCATCCTCAAATTTGAGCTGGAAAAACAAAAAAAAGCATGGTGGTGAAATAACAGAATTGTTAAAATAAATGCAATAATTTAAAGAGAACCTTTTGTGTAGATGGTTGATACCAACTTTTTCATCATATTATTCATTTCTTTGGAATTTTGAACATAATACAAATAGTGAATAGTTTCTAGAATGACATGTTTTCTACATTTGAAAACTTAAAAAAAAATTCTTTTTAATCATCAATACACGAGATATAAAGAAAAACCTGTTTCACATTATAGGCAAACAGTTTGCCATGTCTCACCTTGGCAATATTCTCAAAGCACTTCCTAAGATGAGGCTGTACAGCTGTGGGATCTTTGGTCTGAGAGAGAATCTCCAGCAGTTCATCATCAGACAAGAAGTAGAAGCGGGGGAAAGAATTTCTCTTGGTCTCCAAGTACTCGCTTAGACCTTTCTGGACCTGCTCCAACAGTTTGTTACACTCCTTCAAGTTGTCTAACAGGCGGGCGTCAGGGCACAGTGAGATCACCTATGGAAATATATAGATGCCATACTCTAAATCTCAATATTCGAAGGATTATAAGCAGGAAAAGAATGCAAAAAGACCACTTAAAGGCCGCAATCTCTGTCGTTTACACACAGTGCTATAAACAACATGGCTTTCAAGAAATTTAAATACAAGAAAATGACAGTTAGGATAATTCAGACAAAATGGAATGTGCTTTCCAAAAGGAATACACTGGACTAGATAACAAAATACACGCAAAAACAAAGAGACACACCAGTGTGCACATAAGACACTGGGTTTAATAATATATACACATTTGTATATGCATACTCAAACCCTTGCACACAAATGCACACACACACATACACACATGCATGCACAGACACACATGAAATAACAAAACTGTATTAACTTAAACATTTGTTCTGTATTACAGTTTTGTGTCAGGCTTAAAGGGATAATAACTCTTCGTATGATATCTATATTTCACAGTAAAAACCTTGTGAACTAGAGGATCAGAGAGGCGATACCGCCTCCGAATATTGTACCACCAGCTGGAGCAAGCGCATTCGTATAGACCCCCACATACACAAAATAAGGGACACAGCCACCAGTTNAATAACTCATAGAAATATAATATATTCTGTTTTACCAAAAAACAGCAGTTATAGCTTTTATTCTGATATCTGAACTTGTCTTTAGACCACGTGACCTCCATTGATGTCTATACTCTGTTAAAATCTCTTAAGAGATTTTAACAAAAAACCAAACTTTTTAGAAAAAAACCAGGGACTAACTTTGAATGTAAAAATGGATTCATTAACCATTGGTAAGTATGGGAAAATTGTTGTTTACTCCAGGAAAATTCATTTTTTGGCCGAAACGAAGAGTTATTATTGCTTTAAATATAGCAGAGCATGAACAGGATCTCATGCTTACCTGTGGGTTGTCTCGTGCCTGCTTCATTAGCTTCCTCCAGATTCTTTCCATGGTTTGATACCTCTTGCTCTCCACTGGCAGCTGGCGGTTGATGTCTTCTGAACTGAAGATGGGCTCCAAGTACAGCCATGACCTCTGGCACAACAGCCACTCATCAAGGACATCCTATCAAACACAAAACATGCAATCACCTATAGTTTCGTCTGCATGTTTGCTTGATGTAAAGCTATAACCAATGACCAGCTATAACTCACATTTGAAGTCACAGAGAGTCAAATCAAGTTCACTGCTTACAATACACTTGTAAGATACATACTTTTCAGCTGAAATATTTTTTTAAATACTCAACCAGCAAATCTGACAAAGAATACAAAATTTTAATGTTTATTCAAAATTGTTTTTCTTATCCTCAACCAACTGCAATTGTTACGCGGTGTATATATTGCTTCATAGCTTACCTGAGTTGTTCTTAGTTTACTTTCCCATGTACTGATTCTCTCCTCAAAAGGTTTCTTGAATGGGGAGAAAGACATGCTCTGGGTCATGACAATGTGATCATCCAAAAGCTGTGAGATTTCTTCTGATATTTTCACAATGTAGGTGCCTGTATCTTTATATGGCATCACTTCAAACAGCACTGGTGCCCATTCACCTTCCATCTTGTCAAGAGCCTGATAAATAGAAGTAAAAATTGTGATTTACTATAACATTCAGCTCAAGGTTCCATCCTCAGATATAATTATTGCATGTGTAGAACATAGTCCATCTTTTTTTCCCTGCCATACAAAAAGCAGGAAAAATAATAGGAATTTAGCTCAATAAAGAGGAAGCTACTTAAAAAACATATTATAACAAATCTTTACAAAAGCTGATCAAAATAAGGACAATACAGTGCATTTTAAATAAATAAATTAATAATCCATCATTCACTTAAACATAAAACCATATTTATTCAGAAGTTTACCTGTTCAATGGAGTATTCCTTCCCTGCTACCTCTGCCACCTTACTAATCTTTTCAATGTGATCTTGCAGTCTCATCTCCAGACACTTGGAGAAGGTCAGGGACTGTTTTGGACGCACTGGGAAACCAAGGTCATTTGACAGCTGCATACAGAAGAAAAATAGAACTGTCAATGAATGTGATTATTATTGACTATGGAAGGCGAAATTATAAACAAGGGTTACAAAAGAAAATATGTAAAATTTAACTTTTAATGTGTATTTAATATCTAAAAGAAAGAAATGGTCGAATGAATTTTTCAAACACTCCAACAGAACTAAGTTTGCACTTCAATCTGTCAAAAGAATTTAGCATTCCTTGCCTTCCCCTCTTCTTAATTAAAAGAAACTGTACCTAAATAAGGTTCTACTGACCTGCTCCCAATGCCTGTTCCTCATGCCTGGGTTTCTCAAGCCTTGGATAAGAGGGATATAAGGCCTGAACTCTTCTATCATGCCTTTCACCTCTACTGCTACTTGCTGCACACCTGTAATCAGAAGATACACACAAATCAACCAGTGTCATTGGCATCTTAGCATTTCTATTACACAGATATACATTTGTAAGTATCTTGTGAGCATTACTGCCATTGCCTTAGTTCTTCTGCAAAACCATAAAATTTAGAAAAAAATCAACAAAGCTGAAACTTTGATGATATCAGTGGGGTTTGGAAATTAAAAATATACTGCACATATTATGTCATCCTTAACTGTCAATTCTATCCCATGTCTACTGTAAGTTTATGACCATATCTCTGCAATGAGAAGCTATTTTCAAATTAAAAGATCCTACTGGTATTGAACGATCACTCCACCCTCAGGTATGTGATGGCCATTTACAGAAAAAAAGGCGGGATTGCAAATTACAACTTAAAATTCAAACTAAAAGGCAATAACTTAACCTGCCTAAATATCTGGGAAAATATTTGAAGTTTTAAAGGGGCATGTGTATAACATCAGTTCTGCTAACTACAGGAAAATTGTGCAGGGGTTCTTGTGTATGTGTGTGCACATGTGCACATATCTAATACAGCATAACACACAAATTGGACATCTTGGAAATGCATGCATTATACCCCGGCCATATAATAAAACATTAAAGGACAACATGATTGTATGAATTCAGAAACATTCAAGTATCTGTGCATCTATACAAGGGGAGTAATAAGTGCCATGGTGACCATATGATACTCACAAAACCCCCCATGTTCCTCCTTCACATATAATACTGAGTCAGCTGCATACAGTAAAAAGTTATATCTAAATAGTCTCCATTGCCTTAAAATCTCATTGTTTTCTACAAAAACTACAGTTCTTGCATCAAATACTGATCATAAGGAGAAAAAAAAACAAAGATAAAACTATCACAAAGTACTTTGCACATTTCTTTCAATTTCTATTTACTTCCTTTTTTCCCTAAAACTTCAGGTTATGCTTCACCACTAAATTTGAAAACACAACTCATACCAGGTATATCATTGAAAATCTTCACAGACTTGTGCATGGTTTTGTAGGAGTCATTCACATTCTTTTCCAGGCTTTCAGCATCAATGGATGTCAGCGGATCATTCATCCAGCTCTCATTCCAACGGAGCCATTCGGAGCATGTGATCCAGAGATTTCGGAAAGGTTCAAAGTCCTTCACAAGCTTTATCAACTTGTCATACTAAAATAAAATTGGAAAATTGATGGTAGAGTTGGAGTATAGGGGAAAGGGAAAATAACTATAAACGACATGAATTTTCATGAATTTTCATTTTTAGTTCCTCACAAAAAATACTATTTGACGTGACCTTAAATCACTTTAGTATCATTTCTCCATTAATGAAACACTTCTTTGTGAACAACATCACAAATTAGTTCAAATTTAGTGAACAATTGCATCAGATGTCCAAATAACCAGACCTCCACCCAGTACTCACGTTTGTGACAGGCAGACCAAACAGGCGTTCCCTGTTGTTGTATTTGGCAGCATCCTCTTGAGCTTCCTTCAGCTGCTTATTTATTCTGCGTGCCTCATTGGCAATCTCATGTGCTCTGCCAATGTCAGTGTGGGCAGCCATACCAGCAACAACCATCTTATCAAAGATGAGAAAAAGAAATGTGTTTTAAGATATTTATAACCTGCAATGACATGCAAATCACATTTATATCACAAAAACCTTAAAGTGAAAAGCTAATGTTCCAGGTGCAAAATATTTTACGCTAACTTTAAAAGTAATAACAATGTCTTTTTTTCTAAACCTCTTTATACTGAAGAAAAGCAAAGAAAACCAATTCCACCAATGCTCAAAGAAAAAAAAATACAGCTTTCATCTATAGCCGCCACCCACCTGCAGTGTATCCAGTTTATCATTGAAGTTGGCCTGATCTAGGACCTGTAGCTTCCTAAACCTCTCCTCATCCTCCTCCAACTGGACCAGAGTGTTCTCCATCTGAGTCTCTATCTTGTGTGGCCACCCAATAGCAGTCCACCTAGATACAGGAATCATATTTATTATTATTATTATTATTATTATTATTATTATTATTATTATTATTATTATTATTAACAGTTTGTTGTCTATGTGGTGCACTTTTGTTGCTAATTTGTTGGCAAAGGTGGAGACCCAGTGTAGACAAGGTATGCAGCTCGTGGTAGTGATTCAACAGATATTTTTTTATTATTTGAAATTACATGATATCTATATTCTTACTTGGCATTGAAGTCATCAGTGGAAAGGTTATAGTAGAAATCTTCTATCAATTCATAATCTGACATGGCCTTGTCAATGAGTTCCTACAAAGAAAAAGATATATAATAACCATTGTTACAAAATGAAGGAAAGAGGCCATAAAAAGTCACATGTAGAAAGTGAAGATAGTTTTATGTTCATTATTCAAAACAAAATAAAACACTGAATACAATTATTTGAGTGAAACTGTCACTTTTTGAATATTTCTTATCCTTTACAGATACAACAAAACAATCTTTGGGGGACATAAATTGATCAAGTCTATTTGAATTAAGTGGGCAATTACCACAATTACCACAACTTACCTGATGTTCTTTCAGTTTTTCTGGTATTCCTTTCATCCACTCCCTCATCTCTGAGAGCTCCTCAATGCAGTTGGACTTGTCATAGAGTTTCCTGCTGATAGCCTTGAACTCTTCACAAGCCTTTAAATAATAAAGTGATGAATAATCAAATAATAAAATAATAATGGCAGAGGGTATTAAATAGACAGTGAGCAAAAACTGTGATTACATTTATCTCCGAGTATGGTAAAGCACATGAAATTTCACTTTGAAAAGATACTATACTTTAGATCATTTATAGCAGGTAAAAACTTTCCCCTACATGAGTGTTAGCTTTTAATTAACATTTTTTTATTTGGCACATTATTTTTGGATTATTTTTGGCACATAGTTAAAGGGTGATTGTATTTTAATATCCTGTTAAATGATAACTAGCTTACATCATCTGCTTGTTTCCTGAGCTGTCTAGCTAACAGCTCCAGTACAGCATTACTCAGGTCTTTCCTCTTCTTTGCCAATGCCTTCCTCACTGTGTCTGTGTTGATCCAGAATGGTCCTATGACTATGGTGCTTGGGATGGTGGCTTCAATCACTTCCTTCTCTTTCAAGTGCATCTCTACTTCATGCTTCACTTCAGCGGCTGATTTGCCTTGCTTTTCATACTCCCTTGAAGCAAACAAAAACACGGTTTACAGTTTTAAGATGGACCTGATAAGAGAGGCAAGTAAAAATCAGAAGTCCCTTTTTAGCTGTAAATTTCCCATCATATCAACAATCAATATATCAAGATTCCACCACACACATTCAGTTGGTACAATAATAAAACAAAATGGCAATATCTTCTACTTACTTGACATATGCATTTATGTCCAAATTCATCAACTCCAAATGTTTCTCATACTCTCTGGCATAGGCTTTCATAGGAATGAGTGCTTTCTTTATGGCATTTGTCACTGTGGTTCTCAGTTCCTCCACAGGTGGTTCATGTTCTCCTACAGATTCCAGCAGAGGTGTGCCAGACCAGAATATGTCCTCCATGATGTACTGAAGTAGAAAAAAAATCAGAAAATAAAACTTTACAATTAAATTTTTTGAAAATTGTGTGTGCATGCACGTGTGCCTGCATGTTCGTGTATAGATGTACATGTACATGCATAATTGTGAAGGGCATAAATGATATGTACTCATGAGTGAGCTCCTGCACAAGCATTTAATTGCTTTTAATCAATTCACATACCTTTTCCAGCTGTGGCACACTCTGTGTGGATGAGATGCCTTTGTCAAACAAGCTGATCAGAGTGCTCTCAAAGCTGTTCAGATTAGTACTGTAGTGGGCGCCTTCTTTGTCCAGAAGCAGATCCACCAAAAACAGGGCATTCCTCTTGGGTCTGAATTAAGATCAATACTATATGAATCCCTTTCCCACGATCATACATTTTTATAATTGAAATTCAATATTTTAAATTGTCAGTTAGTGATTTAAAAATAGGAAAAATGAAATCAACTTCTTTAGTATATTAAGTTGATAAATAACTTTCATGACCAACAATAAAATTACTTCATCGTTTTTAATGGCATCATTATCAACTTATTAACAAATAGGGACTGTGATTAAGTGTTCCTCACCTGTAGTTACTGGCTAAAAGGTCTGGTCCCCATTCTCTGTCTTCTTCATAAGACAAACAGGCATGGCAGGCATCCAGTACATTCTGGGTGTAAGAGACCAAAGAGTCCTGGACCAGGTACCTCAGGGAATCCTGCAATAACCAGTGCCAACAAGGTTTTAAACTAGGCAGTAAATGCTGTCAAATATACAGATTTCACTCTTCATACTCCACAACAAATTTGAGTTTTAGTTTGCTATTATATTGATTAAAGGTCTATTATTCTGAGCAATTACTGTCCTTCAGTATAAAATTATAACATTACAAAAATGTGTTGAAGAGTTCCAATTTAATAACAGTAACTAAGAAAATAACTTTTTTGTTGGGAAACTGTGGTGGGCAAATTTTTGAAAAAAACTCACTTATTTTGAGTAATCTGATGTCATATTGGGGTTCGTGCAAACAGTTCAACTTATATGCCACCAATATTTTGAATTACCTGCATATTAAACTTGACCATCTCCATCAGCTTCTTGAGCTTGGAAATCTGGTACACATCCCAGTTGGTCTCGTGGATATTAAACCAGCCCTTCCCACTGTCTCTCAAGCTGGTCCTTATGGCAGCTCTCAGGGTGGTGATCCAGCTGTCCTTCAAAAACAGGGAAACCTGGAGAGAAAATAAAAGTCATAATTTGCAGAAACTGTTTTAACACAATAGATCTATATATTTTCAGAATAATTGTGAAGTTAAAGTAGTGATAAATGCACAAAATGCTTACCTGGGATGTGGCCTGACTTTGTGTCTGTTCAAACTCCTCAAGCCTCATGGGTTTACTCATAGGTAGATGGAAGAGGCACATAGCAGAGACCTTGTTACATTCAGTCCTGACTTTGCCAATGGCTGAGATACTCTCTTCTCTGGTCAGCAGGGAGTTGAAGGCAAACTTGTCATACTGCTCATCAAATGGGTATTCAGGTAAGTCTGTGACACAGCCTAAATAATGGACAAAAAGAACAGCAATATTTTAGAAATTCCTTCAAATAACCTAATTTGTCTGGAGTTTTCATTGGCACTGTGACAGTGACAGTGACAGTTACTGACCTATTTACACAATGGAGCTTAAAAATTTCTGCAGGAGAAAAATTACATAGTTTACCTTTGACAAAATGTTTGGAAGGAGAATACTTCTTATAGTACACAACATGCTGTAGAAAGCCCAACATACCTTTCTCTGGTATCACCTCTTTCACTGGCTCTGGGATAGTGACAAAGGCAAAGGTTGCAGGATCTTCTGCCACAGTTTTATCAAAGATGATCCGATTCATGGAGCGACAAAAATCAATGTTCACTTCTTTCTCCAAAAGCTGTATGTAGTCATCCAGGCTATAATCAAATTAAAAATATTACCAAAGAATTCTCTCATCATAATTGTTTTATCTTATTCTATTTTAGCACCTACTACAACAATAACTTCAGTAAATTAAACACTGAGGGACACATTGAGCTGTGCAGACAACCAATTACATGTAAATGATGTCACATTTTGTTAAAATATGACTTACAATATAAATAATTTTTTTTTCTGAAGAACTGACCTTTTGTCCTTTGACAGTGAAGAAGTACTTCTAGCCCAATCAGTCATTCTCTTCAATGATGCCTGGTCCAGTTCCCCCACTCCATCCATAGGCATACAGTCCAGGTACAGGTTGTAGCGGATCAGTGCTTCTGTGTGTTTGCGGCTTCTAAAAGCATGGCCGACACGCTTAACAAAATCTCGCGGATCCTCTGCCATAAATAGCAACCTAACTCTGGGAATCCAGTACTGGGAGGGCAAAGTAATCCTTGTGCCTGGAATAAAAAAATCAATATAAAAGGCTATATAGGCACCAATCATTACATATACAATATGAAACAGTCCATTTACACTTTCACCAAAGGGGTCTTTGTTTTTGTCATTTAAATTATATAAATTGTTTTTTTTTTATCAGTGTATCTTACCATCTTTTCTCTTCCCACCATTAACTATTGTCTTTCCCTTCTGATCTACAATCCTTCCATTTTCATCACATTTCTGCACCAGATACAGCTGTGTTGCTTTATCGTAATCCAACACTCCCACATCCACCCAGGCATAGGTGATGCTAGGGTCTCTGGGATCCACTAAAAGACAAAGTTTAATACAAAATCTAATCATAAAGATACAAATACAAGTAAAAATATAAATACATCAGTAAAAGTAATTAAAAGTTAAAGATCTAGACGTTCAAGGGGGAGTTGTTGAAATTTCCAAGAAATTATTTCTTTTTCAATTTACAAGAACATAACCTGAATCATTAAAATAACACATAAAAGAAAAATAACATATGAATAACTTAATATGCATAATATAAACATACAATCATGCACATCATCAGTGGAAGGCAACAAGGCTTTGCCAGGGACAGGCATTCTCTTTCCGTCCTCCTTTCCTAATCTTATCCACTCGTGGGGTGTGCGGCAATCAAACTCTTGGTCATCAAATATCTCCAGTGGTAAATACGGTGGGAATGGAGCTGGATCCTTCAAATCAGCATTCAGTATCACATTGTTGTTTCCATTGGTCAGCATTTTTGGCATCAGCATGCTGCTGTCTATGCATTCCTTGGCAAGCAGCGTCTTTAAATTCTGGCTCTCATACAGCCTCTTTCTCCTGAAAATTTGCAATTATAAATATTACTTCAGGAAGAATTTCATAAAATACCCAGGAGGTTAAAATGTAAAGGAGGTAAATTCCAACATAAAATACTTCAAAACAGATTTCAAGTAAATTGTTTTATGTATTAAATCAGTCAAATTTACCTTTCAATTTCTATCTTTCTTGGACACTGTCCTGGAATGGTATAGTAGGGTAACTGGACTTTGGGTTGAAACGACTTCACTGGAAAGTCCTGCAAAAAAAAAAATACATACCAACATTAAATTTTTATGAAATAAATACTTACGTTGTCTTATATTCATACTATACAAGCACGCATACTCTCTTTTTTTAACTCTCTTTCTCTCTCTCTCAAGCACACACACACACACACACACACACACACACACACACACACACACACACACACACACACACACACACACACACACACACACACACACACACACACACACACACATTGTAAGTCTCCTCATCTTTCTTTCTCTCTCACAGATGAAACTAGATTATAGGCCCTTCATTTCTGTTTTAGGAGCAGTAATCCAAAAATATTTGTAAACTTACAGATATGGTTGTTATCTCTGTGGATGGTCCATATGTATACTCCTGAAGTTGCGCTTGTATATCTTCTGGTTTAAAGTCAACCCCAGTAACTGAAAAAGTAAAGTTTACATCAATCTTACATAAAAGTCTGATACTTTGAATCCATTGACAAGATTTGCCATTATACAACAAAATGCAAAAATAAATAAATAATACATAAATAAAATAGAATAGAATAATAATAAATAATTGGACAAACATACGTAGAAAAATCTTCATTTTGACAAGCATTTCAATTTCATAATATGGTTCTCACTGAAAACTTGTGAGTGATTTCTTTTACATTTAATATCAATTATATGCTTTGGCTAGATTTGAATACAGAAAATAGTTCTTCCTGCATTTTAAGTTATAATAATGTAGTTGTACATGCAGAACAGTCAGTAAAAACAAGTTTGGGTTGATTTCAAGTCTCCTTCATTTCAAAGAAAACATATATGTACTTACCTTTTGGAGTGTGTTTTTCTTTGGCAACATTCCAAAGAGTATCCTGTTCCACAGTCTCAGGCCCTTGCAATACATTCTGAAATTAAATACCACGTTTTGTAATTTAATCGCTTTTACAGTTTGGACACCAAAAACCTAAAACAAATAAATTTACAACATAAATTAATAAACTTGGATGTCATAATGTCTGCACTAAGGCTGTCCCTCCAATATGCTGACAGTCTAGCTATATACATGTATGTGTATAAGTATAATTTTTTTATCTCTTTACTTCTCCATTAATTAAGCAAACAGACTTTGTTGACCTTTATTTCAAAATCTTTATACCTAAGAAAGTGGTAGCTATGAATGAACCTCTTGTGCCCTTAGTAAATTCTGCTTCAATGCAATAGTAGTTATTAGAAGCATTATAAAAATTAATGATACAGTAAGCAATTCTGTTGGAGAGAAAATCAGGTCAAATACTTGAGAAGCAACTTTTCTGTTTATTTATTTCAACTTGCTCATTCAATTTATTTTTGTGCTTACTGAACTCCACAACATATTACCAGATGTGTTTCTGTATGTTATATCAAGAGCACAGAATTGCAGTTAAATAAAAAATGCAAATTACACTTACCCCTAATCTTTCTTGGGCACCTGTTCCCAAAATATCTGAATAAAACCCTCTTTGTTTGATCTCTGGGTACTTCTGTCCAGAGACGGATGTTTTGGCTGTATTAATCTGTGTCCGATTGGAGGAGAAAGGCCTCCCATGGGAGCTTTTGGTTGCTCTGCTGGACATATTTTTGCTAAAAGAAAGAAAGATACTATTATAAAAACTTGAATCAGAGAGATTAAGGCTAGAATCCTTTGCAGAGCACTATGAACCAATATCAAATTAATGTACTGAGCATAAAACGTGGCAGCATCCTGCAATAACCATGGCTAAAGTCTTCTCGTACATGTACTGGTATAATGTGTACGGAGTCAGAACATGTACGTTTTCTAAATTCAACATATTACAGTTGGTGCACCATACTCTTTGGCGATTTAAATGAATAATATTATCTTACAGTTAAGATTTGAAAAAGTCACTATATGTCATCAATATAATCTTTAAAACAGTCTAATATTCTCAAAGCTTTTTGAGAGAGCACGATGATCCGAGTACAGACATACGACTAACCATTTACAGTACAGCATACTTGCTGTCTTGAGTAAAAGTTCTACTTGTACTCAGTACATTGGCACCCATATTAACGCAGAGAGTTGCAGAACAAAACTAATTTAGTAACCATATCCTAAAAATGAATATAACTGTGGTAATAGCATGCATTGAAATCTTTTACCTCTCTTAATGAAGATTCATATCCGTGATTTATACGATTTTGTTCAACGCACCATCAACAAATATGGCGGAGTTGATGGAGTTGCTAAGGTAGGTGCGCATGCGCAGGCAGGTGGGGTGCCATGTGAAGCCACAAGCAGAAGGATTTCGCCGCTTGAGCTGCCTTGGCGAGGACACTGACTAACCGCCTTAAACAGAAATCTCAACACCAGAAGTCAATTTTGCAGTTTAGATTGTTTAGAATTTTAAACTGGCTTAAGTTTATAGTTCTGTCTATTTGCCGTTTAATGGAACTCATGGGCATGTTATTAATAAATAAAACACCGAATTAATTTCATTGGCAATTTGGATCTAAGCAAAACAGAAAAGAAACAGAAAAAAAACGGGCTAGCGTGATGAAATTTGCACAAAAGGGCTTTAACACATTAAATAAAAAACAGATTGAAATATTTCACGTACACGTCGGTTTTGGCATGTAGGGATTAGTATATATTTCGTCTGTTTCAGTTTAGCACAAAAATCCATGAGTTAGCATTCCTATCGGTCCTATTTACCGGTATATCTATCAGCCGATATATTTACATTTTCTGATACATATAGGCATACCTAAGGAAAATACTTGAATAATAACTCTACAGGTATTTTATGTAGACTGGACAGTTCTTCTTGAAGGCTAAAGATGTAGTGTAATCATACGTGAAAATAATTAGTTTTTTTTCAAGTCTTACTCAAGGAGGTTAGCATAACACATAAGATAACAAACCCTAGAAAAGATAAGATGATTGATGAACGTCTGAAATCCCTTGTTTAAAAAACACTTGTAGAAACTTAAAGGAATTTTAAATTATAAAAATTGTCATTTAGAAAACAAATGAAAATAACATTTCCCATCGTGGTGTCCTATTTAAAACAATTTAAGTATTAGAATGTCATGTTCACACAACATCAATTTTACAACTATATTTCACTACACTACTCTGGGAGGTGAAACCTTTGACAAGTTGCCATAAAACTGAAACGTAAGAGAGACCTTTCAGACCTTTGCATGGGGCAACCAACTCTTTATTAATATTCAGCTGGCAAACCTTTCGGTGCTCTGCTGGAATTCTAATGACACATGTTTTTAGGTCTATTTCAGATGATTGTGCTTGTGAACCGTGTACGATTTTCTAAATGAGCATCAAAAGGGATATTAGGGCCTATAATATCTAGGCCTACCTATAAAATTAATTTAATTCATCAATTTTCACTTGCCAGAATTACCGACGTGCCAGATCCGATGTGAGATGTGCCAGAATATGTTATAAACAGCATAAGAAAAGTTTTTCATTGATTTATCATTTTATTGAAAAAGTAAAATTTCAAAGTTGTCTATCATCAGAGAGTTAGGTTTATGTTATGTGTGGGTCTATAACGTACAGGGCATTTAACCTACATTGTAGGCCTACACTTAGAGCACTTATGGGTCCCAAATTTCTTTTAAATCAAAATGAAGAAATTAAAAAACTTACACATTTAATTATTTATTCATTTTTACTATACTTTTAAATGTGCTATTTGATACATGAATTCATCTGTAACCAACCCCCCCCCCCAAAAAAAAAAAAAAAAAAAAAAAAAAAAAAAA